GCGTCAGCAACTAAAGAACATAGGGCCTAGGCTATTTAATATTATGATGTAGCTGGGCATGTATTTTATGGTGATAGATTAATTAAAAGAAGTTTAACATTGTTCTGTGTATATTATTTGAATTTCTTCAATTTCAAACGAACGGCCCCTGATTTACCTGTAATTTTTGCAGTATTTCAAATGAATATGTACCCACATAACTGTCTTTTCTAATCGGATTAAAATCTGGCCGAATTTTGGCCGATATTGAAAAAAAGTTTGGCCGAATTTGGCAGTGAGATGGCGTGTGTTTGGCCGTGGAGCCTGTCGACTATCTGGCAACCCTGATCTGAACATCTCACAGGCTTAAGTGGAATTTTTAGTCTAATTTTTGGAAGTTTCCGATGTTCTTTAAATTTCTGTTGTGTTTCTAAACTTGGTGAAGGCCTACGTCTATGTAAATGGACGTTTTCCTTTGATTTTTCAGTCCTTTTTTGCGGGTCCGTAATAACAGTGCGGTTGGTAGGTGGTTGTTGCCCCTCTCTGTATGGTTTCTATTCTGGTTCATTTTCGTACGAGAATAATAACCGTTTCTTATTCGACGAGACTGTGCAAGCCACTTATGACTGAGTGTTCTCAACGGGCGCATCAGGGGCGGATCCAAAGATGTCCAAAATGGGGGGGGGGGCGAAAGTTGGGCCGATCGAGACACTGCCATAGGGGTCCGGGGGCATGCCCCGAGAAACTTTTGTGGTCTAGACGCCCGAAAATAACATTTGAGGCGTTCTGGCCCATCATTTTTTTTATTTTTCTTTCTTTTTTTCTTTTTTTTCTTTTTTTTTCCCCCCCAAAAGAGAGCCCCTGCGCATGACATCCTGTCATCCAAAATCGTATTTTCCCATATTTAAAATTGCTTTCATTGATACAACATTTAGTTGCTTCATTGCAGTAGTAAGTTCGCGTGTTAAGCTGGTTTTTCACTAAGCGAATTTATTCGCGCGAATCAAAGAGTCGGCTCGCTTCCTGAGCTCTGATTGGTTGCGCATTTTTTCGCTTCTCAAAAACTCCGATAGGAATGTGAACGCTTTGGATTCGCGTGAATAAATTCGCCTAGTAGAAAACCAGATTTACGGACGATCCGCACATAAGACGAACATCCGCACATAAGACGAACATGAATATAAATATAAAAATCAAATCTGAATGTCGTGCGTATAAGACGACCCCCTTTTTTCGATCGTAGTTTGCTATACGTGAGTATAGGCCTATACGGTATTTGTTTTAAAACCCTAGGTTACCTGAGCGCTAAAGGATTCCCCATACAGTGGCGGATTCAAGGGGGAAATTTTCCATGGGGAGGACCCCCGGACCCCCCTCCATTTTGGGTATTTTTGGAAACGTTTTGAACCCCCCTCTTCCAAATCATGGATCCGCTCCTGAATCATGTACCTTTGTTTGCACTAAACACTTAATCTATGTTCCCCCTTTAGCTGAGGTGTGGTAAGAGAGTTTATTTAAAAGATAAGTTACATAATAATTTAAATTGTTCGGATGAAATACATATTTTTCATGAAGTTCAATGCAAGTTTGTACCATACTGTGTGTCTTTGTATATGTTCCATTCTAGTGGAGGTTCTATTTCTTTTGAATTTCTTTTGAATATAAATTAAATACTGTACTTAATTGATTTAGGTACTTAATTGATTTATTATTGCCCACTTGAATTGTATAGCCCTAGGTGCTGCAGTGTTCTTTATGTAGAGCGCCATATATAAATGCTTGATGTGCTTATCCGGGTCCGATGGCACCTCCAATTTCAAGCAAGTTTTGCAGAGACTCTGGAGTTAGGTTTCATATGAGAATGAAGAAGATAATTCTGATAGCAACATTGATTTATTGCTTTAAGTACTGCGACAATAACATTCAGAGGCGAATTTAGAAAGTTTAGATAAAAAGTATTTATTAAAGT